CATCCAGCCTGGCCTTGAGCACTGCCAGGGAGGGGGCAGCCACAGCTTCTCTGGGCAACCTGTGCCAGTGCCTCACCACCCTCACAGGGAAGAATTTCCTCCTGATATCTCATCTGAATCTCCCCTCTTTCAGTTTGAAACCGTTACCCCTCGTCCTGTCATTGCCCTCCCTGATCCAGAGTCCCTCCCCACCTTTCCTGTAGCCCCCTTTCAGCACTGCAAGGCCACTGGAAGGTCTCCCCGGAGCCTTCTCGTCTCCAGGCTGAACAACCCCAGCTCTCTCAGCCTGTCCTCACAGGGGAGGTGCTCCAGTGCCCTGATTGACTTTAGTTCAGTCTTTCACGTAAAGTATACTCACCTACAGTAAGATGGTGGAATATTTGCCCCAATTAACAGATACTGCTAATGAAAGACTAAAACTTGTACAGAGGGAAGAGAACACGTCTCGCCCTGCTCTCAAAACGAAGTGGATGTTGAGCTTTGTTAGCCAGCAGCATATGACAGAATAAGACTCCCACAACCTGGATTGCAGCATCATTATTTTTTCTTATTTTTATGAATACTCTCTTTTAAAGCGAAATTTCTGCTCATGTTGTTTGCCAGTTTATTAACTCCCTGGAGATTTCAAAAGGCGGTTTTTAGATTTTTCTTCCTTGGAAGGCTGTGGAGAACCAGCCTGTGAATGTGCTGCCGTGACATTTGCAGGTTTACAGTCTGGGCAGTAGTAACCAGCTTTGAAGAGATGAGTAGGTTTTGAAAAGGTCATATACAGATCTTGTGTTTAACACTTTCCTTCTGCAGATCTTTTTGTTTACAAATGTTTTCATTAATCCTTTAGCAGCTGCCTCTGCAGGGACTGATAAGATGCATTATAACAATTCAGCAGGTGGGTGAAGGGGCACCCAAAGGTGACATGTGGTCAGTGGTAGTGTTGTGAAGACCGTTTGCGCTAAGTAATGGGCCACATGTGCTCACCACCTTGGTGTCGAAGGATGGCTCATGCTTTTAGATCTTGCACCATTTGAACCAGGTCCCATTGCTTGGGGAAACTAATCCAAATAACCAGTCGGTTACTGACTTACTCTGTGTCTACCGCAGTGTGTTTTTAATTCATCCAAGTGTGTTTACATTTTAGATAAATGTGATCCCATATTTTGTATGTAGTTATTCCTGTACTAATCTTTAGGAACATAATCTTTAAAATGTAGCGTGAAATGATTATTTAATTGGGTACTCGTAGCAGGTTTTCTCCTGTTGAGATTTCTGACTGGCTAACCAATTTCCTTGAGCAATATGGTTTTCCACATGATAGATTCACATATTTTCCTCAAGAAGATACTGTAATTTTAATTGGAAAGCTTTGACATATTTTGGATCGACTCAGAAAACAAAAGACAATTTTTCTTTCATTAAAGATCTTGTACAATGGATGCAAATAGAAGTATAAATGGAAAATGAGACAGTAGCACTATATATACTTCAGAGTTTGATTTGGTTCCCTTGGGCATTTTATAAAGACTGAAGAGGTGTGTGGGGTGTATATAATCCATACATTATGTATCTGTATTACCTATATATTTTAAATAAAATCAGTAATGCAGGGGTTTTGTGGGAGGGAAGTGTTTTGTGATGCTTTCTTTGGCTTCATCCCCAACCAAGCCCATTTTAGCTGGCACCTAAACTGTGTCCAAGTCTAGTGTTCCCCACTGGCATGTTACCTGTCAGCCTGCAGGCTTATTTAAACACAAAAATGATGCTGCTCTAAATAAGAGGGCGAAAATTAGTTGATATAAAATTCCTATGCAGTCTTGGACATACAGGTGTGCTTTGATAGCCACAAAGCAATTTTTGTACAGGAGCACATATAAACTGTACTGGTAGACTTGTCTGAGGGTGGGAATTGCACTGGTATAGATGTACACCTCTGACAGAAACAGTTGTTCACTTTCTGTAGAGCCTAAGGGAGGTCCCAGCTCCTAGGGACATGAGAATGTAAGGATTATTACCATAAAATTGTGAAGAGTTGTGTTTTTTCCAGCATGTTTGCTTAACATTGGTGATACTTAAATTGTCACTCAGTTCAGGCACCTGACTTGAGACAAATGGAAATAAAAGGGATGTTTTACATATCTCAGGTCTGTAGTTTTGTGCTCTCAGCAACTTTTTTACTCCCAGCTGTGAGAGGGGTTACTGTTCCTATGTGCATATTCCCATCCTCTGCCAAAGGTTATGATGGAGGAAGCAATTTAGAGCAATGTCCTTGTTTTAGGCAAAAATAGCAGTCTTGCCCTAGACTAAATTATTGGTCTCAACTAATTTGGCAGACTGTTCCTGCAGTGAGTTAACAGGTGCTTACACATGCTGCTTGACTGGTGCTTTGGTGGGTCATCAATGAGCAGTTAAGAGTGGGTAACATCTTCCTTCAGCACAGCTGGATACAGAAGACTTCTTTTTGTAGCCTCAGTTACTTTTTTCCACTTCCAAAGGCAGTTTCTAGCCTTCCGGGCTACAAATGCAAGCCAGTTCATTAAATTAAATCTGAGAAAAGAGGATGTTTGAAAATATAGATGTTTCAAAAAATGTCCAACCTGGTATGACCAGCCTCTAGCTCTGAGCTCCGATGCTGTTTGTGTGGGTGGTGTTGGTTCCTGATACGCAAGCAATACCTTTAACACCATTACATTCTCTCTGGCCTTTGTTGAAATGCTAGAAAAATTTTAGCAAAGTTATGGAGTTGTAACAACTCAGATCCATCAACATGAACTAGGAAAAGTCTATTTCTTTGTATGTAAGTACAGATGTGGCTGACTGACTCTTTGAGGAGACAGCTGTGATCAGCAGTTGTTTACTTGTCCGTTCTGTTAGACCAAACCCAGAGAGAAATCACAAAAAAGCATTTACTTTTTATCAACTGCTAAATATTGTGTAGTGGATAATGGTCGTCGTGTAATTATTGCGTTTTCAGAACATACTCATGATGCAAAAAAAGTGAAGCTGTGTGTTTATGTGTCTTTCTTTTTAGTTCATGCAAAGGGGTTTGGATTCACAAACTAAAAAACAACTAGAAGAGGAAGAAAAGAAGATCATTAGTGAAGAACACTGGTATCTTGATTTACCAGATCTAAAGGAGAAAGAGTAAGCTTATACCCTTTTGTACTTCTTATCATCATTGGATTGGTGTGGAGTGGGAATAGAATATACATATTTTTTCCTATAAAAGAGGTGTTATTAATAACCAATTAACAGAAGCAAAAATAGTGACAGACTGGCATTACAGATTTTTTTATTACTTCTTTTCAGGGACGTTCTCAAGGTTGCCTAGTGCAGTTTGACCTACTTTCATTTCTTGTGAGTGTTGTTTTCTTTCACTCACACATTCTTCTAGATGCATTTAATTAGTTTCTTTCAGGCAGGGACCAATTCATTCATTGCTGCTTTTTCCCTTCACTTGAAAAAAGTTTGAAACCTTGTGTTAGTAAATTCAGCTCCAGTCACACGATTAGGTCCATTCAGGACAGTTCTGTCTTCCGAAGTCCAGCTCACTTCAAATCCTGTTTTTGAAATAGGAGAGATAACGGCAAAAAATAAAGGAAAGCTTAGCTAATAAGGAAGAAAATGTCCATTCCT